GCATGGCTTACTCACAGATTGAACCATGAAACAACCGCTGGACTGATCAAAGTCAGGGCACAGCTAACTCACAGATCGAACCCTGAATCAACCTCAGGGCTCAACTAACTCACTGATCAAATTTGTATTTGAGAATTGAATTTTTTGTGATTTATGTGAGGTACCTGATGTAGCTTGAAGCAGGTCGAGTGATGATGAAGCATCATCAATGATAGACAGCATCTAAAGAGAAATTAAAGGACTTGAGTAAGACAATATTTTGACTTGTCCACTTATCACTCCTGGGTGGACAGCTGAATGCCTAACAGGTTTTGCAACCCAATTGATAACACAGCTTATAGATTGAATTAGAATGATTTTTGTAAGAGAACCCGGAGAAAAACCCTTGAAGCACAGGAGAGAGCCAACAAACAACTCTACTCAGTTACAAACAACACCAAGCCTGGCAGGACTTGAACCCAGGTTGCATTAGTGAGAGGCAGCACATTAGCAGCACATGCCACTTGTGCTTCCCACAGGAAAGAAAGAAGCAAGCTCTTCCAAAGGGGGGAGGGGGGGGGGATGTTTAAGCAAAGGCTTGACTCTTCTTCATGAATACATACAGTGGTGTAACATTCAACTCAGTATCTATACTATCTATGGCAAGTTTCCTATTGAAGAAATATAAGATGTGTGTGTGTACTACATGTATGTGAAATTATAAATGGGTTAACAGAGCACGAGAAAGGTAGTTCAAGATGCAAGATGCAAGATTATATTTTATGATAATAAAACATATTAGAGAACTGCCAAATCATGTTCAAAAATCCTGAGGATCAGAGAGAGGCTTTTGGGTAACTACCCAATACCTCATTAATGAAATTAATAAACATATTTTTGTCAAAAATGTGAACACTCAGTTTCAGCCATGAATTATGAAATTTGATCAGTACCTAAAAATGGTACAATAATGACAAAGATATAACTAGAAAGATAGATATAGAAAGATATTTGAAAGATTTAACTAGCTAAAAACTAGTGTGAGCTGCGTCGGTGTTTTTAGTGAAACAGTAATGATGAAAAGGTAAATTATACACCGTGAAAAGATGAAAAAACTTACTGACATTTCGGACGCTAGTCCTTAGTTGGAGTAAAAAAAGACTAGCATCCGAAACGTCAGTAAGTTTTTTCATCTTTTCACGGTGTATAATTTACCTTTTCATCAGAGCTAAATTTAGATTGCTAGGGTGAATTGTTTAAGGCATTACCATTCTGAGCATTGGTGTGTCATTCAGCATGTGAATCATGAGAGTAAAGCCAGGTGCTTTGGGTGCCATGTGTCTCTCTCCTCCTTGTACTCCTAACACCTGATCCACAAAATCCCCTGGTTGGGGCACATAGTCATCAAGTAGCTTGAACAGGACTTCAACGACTCCACATGCAACCTCCCACTGAAATTTAATTACAGATTTAGTATCTAAACTACATGTAGAAGCTTTAGGTAGAAACAATACAGCTTCTAGTTATCTGTTGCTCAGGGTAAGCCTTGATTTGCGCAGTGTTCCAGTGAAGGTCTGTGTAATTTCAAAGATGCATCTACTGTATACATTGCTGAAGATGTGCATTCTTTACTTTACAGAATGGATGGTATTTGTGAATACCGTTACAAGGCTAGCCCGAGTAAATGAGTCTGTAATTGAAGTACCTATAACGCCTAACTCAATAATTTCAGTATTGATTGTACACACAAACTTGTGAATAGTTGAATGGTAAAATATATTTTCATATATAATGAGTGATGCATCTGGAATATACAGTATCAAGGTTTATACATTATATATTAATGAGTGTGATGTCATTATAGGCATTATTAAATATACGAAACGTTTCTGGGGCAGTAACTTATCCTGTATGAAACATGATTGTCTTACTCAGGGTTTAAAGAAAGTTTGTCGAAAATTTGTTTACTCAATAATCAGTATTTCAATTTACAAATTATGGCAACTAAACTCAAATAATTCCTATTAATGACCCATCACAATCATGAGCATATTGGGAGTATAAACCTTGATATCTCCAAGATGCATCACTCAAACCATATACAAATATTTTACCATTCAAATATCCACTTCATGTAGAATCAATACTAAAAGTATTGAGTTACTGTAGGTGTTATAGGCACTTTAAGGAAAACAGTCATAATTTGGAACTCGAAAAAGGTCTATTAGATAGCACTGATCATGAAAACTAGGAAGACAATACTTCTGGAACTGGTTAACAAGCAAATCCCACCCCGCACCCCCAATAAAAATGAATGGTCCCTTAGTATACTTACTTTTTCCTTGCTGTCTTGGTAACCTCTTGAATTGAATTTCAAGAATACATCATCACGCAAGTACGCCAGGTAAGGTTCAAACCCTGGCACACGGTAACCAGCACCAAGTGTTGCTGGGATAGGTATATCTGTCAGCTCTCTAATGAGCCGCAGAAAGGCACGCGTCACTGGGTAGGTTTCACTTCTTGCTTCAATTTCATTTAGTTCAACCTACATAATACAACGCACAGTAAGGTTTGACAAAAGTGGCATTGCGAAAAGTACACTACATGTACAGTATCTTACCTGAATACCCCTGTCTTGTGTTGTCTGACCAGGTTGTTTTACAGTCACTAAAATCTATAAATTAAAGTTGAAACATCTGAGTGTTAAAATGGCATACTGTATAAACATGGAACGATACACTGAGTTGCATTTAAACTTACCAGGGTTTAGTTTAGCTGTAACACGGGTTAATGGAACCAAAGATTAATTTTTTAAGGAGCAACTCTAGAGAGTCTAGTACCTGAGAGAGTTCCAGAGTAAGCCACATTGAAGAAGCGATTTCTGGTGACTTAGCAAATGCTGCCAATGTGTTTAGAATGCAACCTTTCAATCTGATGTCAATGGTGCAACTTAGAAGACCAAACAGAGAAGCAACAGGAAGCCATGTTTGACTCTCACACAAGGTAATACGAGCTGTTTCATCCTAAGAAAATATAACAATTTATGATTAAATTACATATTGTCTCTAGAAGAAAGACTAGAAATTTGTATGTCAACAGCTATGCAACAGCTAACCATAGGTTGTCAAAACTCTTTATGGTTGTTGTCATGAGAGTTGCCATTAAGGTGATTAGTATTTGACATTCAAGAAGGTGTTGGTAGGTTATTTTTAGTTCCGCTTTGAAAAGCTTGGTGCAGTAAGCATGTTTATGTGAAATAATTTCTAGAATTTTAATTGGCTGATTTTTTCTCATGCAATGTGATTGTTCAGACAGTGCCGTGTCTTTGGTGTGACTGTGTCTGCGCCATGATTGTACTGTGCTTCAGGCATTTGATTGAAAAAAGAATACATTCCTGCACGATGTGATTGGTGTAGCGTATGCCCTGCCATGTCATGACGGCGCTCATGCCGTGAGCCTTTCCCAGTCATACGAAAACTGCAGAGAATGCATTATCAACTTACTTGTTCAGCAATCTTTTGTGTTACTTGAAGGACTGCCATTAAAGCCTCTTGTTCAACTGGTGTTATTCCTCTGCTACCCATGTGAGATCTAAAGCCTTGACCCACTTCTTTACTTCCAAAACCAAGACCTATCACATGAAAGCACAATCCAAAATACCTTTAACTAATTAAAGCTAAAAAAAGCAGTTGTGCTTTATCTTGATTACAAAGATAGTAACTATGTGGATCAATAAGCCCAGAAAGCTTTCAACTCTGAGGAGTACTTTGAGCTAAAAATAACAAGTCTTCCGACAATGTCCAAACATAATTGAAGCTTTTCCTGACAAAACTTTGACTTCCCAGTCCCTTTCACCAATCTCACAAAATACTGAGATGACATGTCTTTTATCTATGTAACTACAACAAAATTTAAGTTTGGGGCAGCCAAAAATGAGGTACAACTGTCAGGTATAAAGCTAATCTTGCAAGTCAGGTGTCACCTCCCAGAAACTGAATAATTTTATAGTATGCCCTTGGTGCATTCAAATAATATAGGCTGTACCGAATCGTTCATCTTAACAAAATTAGGGAAGGAGAGAGGAAAAGGATCCTGTTAAATGGTATTGGTTTCTCCTTATACAAAGTTGATTATTTAATATTGAATCTGTAAGATTTGTAAGAAGTATGGTTCATACCTGAATGACCTCCATCTTGGCGAAGATCCATGTAGTACTGCTTGATGGAGGTAAAAAAATGATCCCAAGAAATACTGTTATTTGCTGTGGTCTTGAGCATGTTGAAACAGTGATGGGCTGCCTGTGGGCTAGTGGACAAACCAACAAGCATTTCCATATATGGAATGAACAAAGATGCGGGAAGCAAGTCTCCAGCAAGATGCACAAATTTGTGCAGACTGACTTGTTTAGATGACAGCCGTTGGTTGTATAATGGGGAAGTCCTGTTGCCGTACTGTGAGAAGGGTGTGGCTACTGGTTCAGGGGGGCACCAGTAATCAGCTGCCAGGTGAAGCTCAGAGGGATCTTTGCTATACAGGTCACCAATCTAAATAGAATTTATTGATGTAATAGAACAGAGCTTCATAAATATATTTGAAAATAATATTTTATGCTGAAGCATATAATATTATTGTAATATTATAATTTATCATATAATGCTAATAATATATTTCCGAGACTAAAATGAAAAAAAAAGAACTTGAACTGTTAGCTTATTTTTGTACATCCTATAAATATGAGATGCACGGCTCAAAAATACAGCTGATTGTGCAACAATGTCGGGACAGAATTTCATTTCAACCAGATAAGTTGAGCCAGAAACAAGGTATGACCAAGATAAACTAATTTGGTCGGTCATCACGAATCGTCAATGACCACTCATTATTGTAAGCCCTGAAGATGTTACAAAATTTGGCCCGTCATCACAACTCGTCACTTAACGGTCATTATCGTCAGCCCTGAAAATGTTACAAAATTATTTTTACCAGTTTCAAAAAATCTTCAAAATGTCTGGGAAGATCAATGGGAGGTTCACGACCCTCTTGTAAGCAAGCCTGAATAATACGGCATGCTTCATCTCCGTGGTTGCGCAATTCTTTAACCTAAAATAAACCAGAAAACAGTAACCCCATTATGTACATTCTAGATCTGTAGGTTAAAGACAAGTGTCAAGGTTCATCAAATTATACCTTCAAAGGCATTTTCACAATAAATCCTGTTACAACACTATGTAGTCTTCGAACAAAATAATCCTGAAAACAAGGAAAAGAGACTGAGACAAAAATATTATAATAAAAATACATTGCAGCACAAATATATAAGGTTTTTGCATGATGGCAGCAATTTACTAGAATGCCTTACAATTTTTTGTTTGTTTTAACTTCATTGCCTCATGCGATGTACAGTAGTGTGATACAAACACTGGGTCAAGACAATTAGTGGTAATGAACTAACAAAACATAGAGTGCAAAAAATTCTGGTATATGATGCCGTCATGCATGGAAAATTATAATAACTGGACAATATGTGGCCAAATGGAATATCAAAAATGACCAGATGTCAGAAAAAAGTATACCTCGTGATGGAAATTATTAGCTCCAACAACACAAGTTCTTAAAAACCCAAACACTCCTCCTTCTACAGCCACATCAAAGACAGCTCCATCATCTTCTAGTACTTCTACTGCACCCACCAAGCTGGACCACTGACTGCATGAACGCAACACTAGTGACCATGCAAACTGAGTTGTGGCAAGTAAACCTTGATTGACCCATCCCTCTGTGCGGCACAGTTCCTGATGAACATCTGGGATGAAATTCTGGTCTGATAATAGTGGGAGGGCATCCTCTATTGGGTAAAACAATAAAAACATGCATGATTTTCATGATATAATAATACTGTAAATAAAAATTACTTTTTTCCATATTAAAAAAAACAACACATTCCCACATTAAAAAATTCAATTTTGTTTCCTTTCTGTGAAGACACTAAATAGGACCACTTGAAAAAAGATAACCAACCACGACATAGAGTGAGAACAAAGGAATTAAACTCATGTCAAACGTGAACCAAACAGGAGATCATAACGAAGCCTAGATCTGATAATAAATCTGAGAAAAAACTTAGATGTTAGGCCAAACAAAAAAATAAGTGTGTTTCCTGTTGCATGAGAAAAATAATTGGGGTCAGTAGGTCGGATTTTTTTTTACTGATACAACGGTGGAAATGAGCTTACTGAGAACCCTGTGGTGCATTTGGGAATGAAAAAAATATTAGGGTCGGCAAAAATTGGCAAGAAAATTAGGGTCGGTTGCGGAACAGGAAACAAACTTTTTTTTTGGCCTTATCAATGATATGGTTTTACAGAAAATTATTTGCAATGGACAAAAAGTTACTACCCAAAAATATATTGAATTCCTACAATACTCCAGTTTTGAGTTTTATCTTGCTCAGGATTAATGTCAATTTTGTGCAGCATATTCATGTGTTCCAGTGAAGGCCCGTGGAATTTCAAAGAGTTTGTACTGTTGAACTTGTGCATTTTTTTTTTTTTTTTTTAATTTAAAAATTGACCATTGACTATTAACAAACCAAACCTATTTGACTAGTTAACTATCACCAAGATTGAGCCTGATAGATAGATATATATGTACATTGTATATTTACCACTAAAAGATGTTTGCATCTCACTTCCGTCATCCAAAGGATCCACGTTAAAGCAATACAACATGGCCATCAGGAGAGTCAAGGTGACACTATCAAGAGTTCCATCAGCTTCTGTTGCTGGACACTTCTTCAAATACGATATCAACTGCAGAGTGTCACTTCTTGATAACGTTGATTGACATGCGGCACAAAACAGGCACTCGGCAAGAAGTTGACGCTGGTCAGTTATGAAATCAATCAGCTGTCTTTTGTGCCGTTCATCTCCTATTGCTTGACCTTTTTGAAGCTTTTCAAGTTCTGATTGGATACTGAGGCTTTCCAGCTGCTTTAGTATTGTGTTAACTAAGCCTAATTGAGCAAAAAAATGCATTAAGTACTATATTTACTGGTTTTAAGTTTCCCCTGATTAAACAACACCACAAATAAGCACCCCACCAAGTGCCATCCCCAAATTAAATGAAACCCAAAAAATTTAATAAGAGCTTAAAAATATGGTATTTTGTATTCTTTAAATGTTTCTATTTATTTTGTATCATTGGTTACACATTATGTATATGGTAAACACTTTTTTTGAGCTATCACTACCCTTGAATAAACCCTGCATATTAAACCCAAAAAAATTAATACACACTGCAGCTTTCAAACAAATAAATACGATATACATCAGTTGTTGAGGTACAGAACCTATTTATACCTCAAAATGTTGGATTCAAATATTCTAAATTTAACATCCACTTTTTTTGGGGGGGGGGGGGGGAGGGGGGAAGGGCATTTATTGCTATCGCAATAGTCTTCTAAATCAATTATGATTCAGCATTAAAAGCTGAAAAGCTTTCATCAATTCAAGGATCAAGAGATGGAAGGTTTAGAACTTTTTCCAGCCATAAAATAAACTCACAGACCACTGTAAATAAGTAATGAATTGAAACACAACCATTACACATGTATTTAACTTCAAAAATAAAAAATAAAAATTAATGATGACTCTCCCCTCAGAAGCCCTATCAGCCTCCCCCCAATAAAGAAGCATACCTTTCCTAAGTTTGTTCTAATAATGCTTTAATGCTTGAATTGCAAAGAGCAGAAAGCCACTAGAAAACATGCAAGAGTAATACCTTCTTCAAGAAGCTGTTCAGTATACCCAGTAATCAATTGACTCAAATCTTCATTCAAACCAAGTGTCCATGTGATACCATCTCTTGACTGCATTAGTATCTTTAGAGCACTGATAAGACAACGGCGACCATCATGGTATAGAAGTACAGCCACTAGACCACGCGTCATTCCTGGAAAATTTGGCTGCTGTTGTTCACCTGCTAACAAAAGCTCAGTGCAAACATACTCATTCAGGTCAAGAATGTCACTTAAGATAAGTGATTCTTGAATGAATTGTTCTGGAAGCTTTTGTTTCTCTTGTTGACCATGAAGGTAGATTCCTGTAGTAGAGGCTTGCTTGATTTCATTTCTGTGTACTGGATTTTTTGCCTAGTAAATTTACAAGTGGAAAGGGTACGTAAGTTTTTTATCGTAAGAGATCAAATCATTATTTATTGAAGGGATAGGGTTTAATGAGAAAATGGGGGGCATTGAAAACCTTGACCTGACCCTAAAAAGGGGATCATGAAATAATTAACAATTTTATATATTAGCTAGGTTGATGGGAAACAGGGGAGAGAAAAAAAGAAGAAAAAAAAACGTCCTTTTTTCACAAGGGTAGCACTTAATAGCCAGTGGCTAACAAACCTCTGGCCCTCATTCCGTGATCGAATTGGAATTTAGGAGTTGATTTTTGCGGAGGGAGGRAAACCGGAGAACCCGGAAAACCCTCAAAGCACAGGAGAGAACCAACAAACAACTCTACTCATACACAACACCGAACCCGGCAGGACTCGAACTAGGGTCGCATTGATGAGAGGCGAGCGCTCACACTGCTACGCCACCCATGCTACCCAAGGGGGTGAAGAGGGTGGGGGAATGGGGAGAGAAGGGATAATAATCATAGGAGAGCCTTTAAAATCGTTTAAACCAACAAGGGGTATCCAGCATTTTTGCGGGGGTGGGGTGGGGGGTATGGGATTATTTTGGTACATCCTCTTATTATTCAGTAAAGAAAGTTGATTGATGCAACAACAATACAGAAAACACATTAAAAAATCCCAAGGACCCTTCCCTGGGTAAAGTTTTATTATAATCTATATTACCAATTAATGCTTCGAATTCTTTCAGTTGTCAAAATCCTAACTGTATTAAAGGTAAGAAATGCAAACTAAAGATTTCACTTCATCATAATTAACAATATATTATGGCATAGCTAATAATGAATTCCATATTTTTTTACTTACAGGATTATTCAATAAAGTCAAGAAATCAGGCTTAGATTTTTTAAGCGCGACTTCAAGATCGTGTTGATATTCGGGACGTTTTCGATAAACGGCTCGTTCGACGATCTCGAGCAGGTCCTTGTAGGGCCGCCAAATTCCTATGAAAATATCAAAAACAAATGAGCGTATATATTTCTCCTCGCACTTAAAAAAATACCAAAATATTACGATTAGAAGCGTCAAAACTTTGAAAAAAAAAGATTTAAATTTTACCTTCATTTTGCGCCGCCATTTTGAATCGGCGCCGAAAAATGTGCTCGCTCAGGAACCGCGCGCTGATTTCAGCAGCGCGAAGCCTAAGAACTACCATACCCACGTGACACTAACATGATAGATTCGAAAAATTTCACGTGACTAAATATCGCTAGCTGATTGGTTAATGCGAGTGGTATATGAGGTGACTAACTTGAAGCTTGTCATGTGACTTATATTCTGGGGTTTTGATTGGTTGAGAGGCGTTGAACCGGCGTCTGTCACTGAACCCCGCGTAAATATGAACGCGCCAAATATTTTCACAACCGATTTGGAAGGTCGACTCTACGGACTCTAGACGATTATTAGGTGATTTACTACAAAAAATATTTCATATATTTGTCTATAATACTAGACAAAAGCTCCACGAAGCCCGAAGTAACACATGTGTGTTTTATCAGCTGTTTTGTTGGATTACTTCAGATTATATTCAGGTGAGTAGACTACGTACTACGTGGACCCGATGGGAAGTAAATCCGTTACCACTCTGCTAAATTAGGCAATATTTCTTTCTTTTTTGTATTAATAAGGCTAAATATGCAGTAAACTTGACTTCGTGTTACTGAAGAATAATTCTATATTTGTATTTTTACAAAAGATTTGTATTTTTCGGGGAGATTTTGACAATTTTGTGGGGCAGTTGTGTGGCAAGACAACCATTCAAGTCGCGCGCTGAAATTTACATACATACTGGACTATTAGTCAGTTTCTAACTGACCTTAAAATGGATTCTCTTTCTCTTTTAGGTTTTATTAGATAGAGATCATGGTTTCCACGACAAACCCTGAAACCTGGAACAAATCAGAGAAAGATTCTGATTCATGTCTTAGTGACAGCTCTGGGTCATTATCGCTAAGCAGACACCCGTCCTTGGCAGAGATATCAACCATTACCTCAAACTGCTCTACAAGTCCGATAACGTCAGATGAAAATTATATGGAACGTAACTTAAAATCTCTTAAATCACAAGCTGCAAGCAGTGAGAGCTCGATTGCTCTTCTAGATTTGCAATTAAGTGGAAAAACAATGATGGTTCCTGCTACACCCCCGAAGCATACGATGAAATCCGACTCCTCAGTCGCTCCAACAAACACAGAAGATGAACCACTCACACCTACAGCTAATCTAAAAATGTTAGTCAGCGCAGCAAGTCCAGCAATCCGAGATCGGGAGACTAAGAAGCGAGAACTCTTCACAGAACCTGAACAGACCAGTCCAATTCCAAGCTTTTGTGCTGTGCCTTCGTTCGCGTTACCGATGTTTGACTCCAAAGTTGTTTACAGAAATGGCGGTTTTGTCCACGTAAACCTTCGAGATGGTTCAGAATCTGAGAAAATGGTCATAAGTAGGAAGGATAAATCTCTTGGTCTGCTGTGCCAAAGGTAAATTTTACATGAGTTGATGGAGATGGCGTTACACTAGTTTTATAAATTGCCGCCATTTTCAATCGTCTAGTGGTGTTTGAATTTTTAATGAGATAGATTTTTCGCGGCATTTTTGATTTTGGCGGGGAATCTAAATTGCATCTACAGTTTTAACTCCCAATTCCATTCTTAAATATTGATAAAAGTCATAAATCTAGTGTATATGTATATGTCTATCTTAATGTCCTTATTTTCCCCAAGTTATGGTCATAGTCATTTACTGTTTGCTATTGTGGTCCTTCATGCAAATCATGCCTGGTTTCCCTCCAAAACTGTTTGACTACGGGCTCCCTGGGGAGTCGGGGCTTGGCTAGAGATCAATTAATTAAGATTTTAGATGCATCAATTGTATTGTCTTTCTATGAATCTTTGTCATCTTGTTATGGTTTCCATAGATTTTTGGCCAAGTACCCTGAAAACCCTTCTCCTAGTGAGAGAATAGAGATCAGCCTTGATGAAGTTGCTAAGGATTTGAGTAAGTAAAGAAATTCGAAAAATAGAGATACATTCAATTATTATTTTCATTTGATTTACCATTTATAGTTCTCTAGATATGAAAATGTCTTTACAAGATCTGCACTTTTTTGCATAAATTTTAATATCAAGTTTGTTGTTTTTGTTTCACTTGTTAGGTGTTGAGCGGAGAAGAATCTATGACATTGTCAATGTCCTTGAAAGTGTAGAGGTTATTAGCAGATTTGCCAAGAATAGATACATGTGGCATGGAAAGACAAGACTGCCTCAAACATTAGCTAAATTAAAGGTAAAAATATTTTCATCCGGCAAATTGTATCCTATATAGTATTAGCCAGCAATATTTGTAGGTAGAAAGGACTTCAGTGATTGCCTTGGCAGTTAAAGTTTGTGCATTTTTGAACTCAAGCATGTTTTGTTCCAGTATATTGGTATGAGTTGTGTAGTCTTGAATATTCATTGAGACCTCATTTTTTAAAATGAGAAGATGAGAAGGCTACGCTTAGCTCAATACATTCTCATTAGAAAATCTTAATGTTTATTCTTGTAGCAATTTGCTGTTACACATGGATTTACAAGTAAAGGAGGGAACACAGATAAGGAAAATCCACAGATGGCTTGTCAAAATAAGGTAAAGAAACATGGCATACATATGCTGTGTTTTGGTACATATATGTTTAAACTTTAAAAAAGCATTTAATTTTGACGTCAAACTCAAGTGAATGCCTAAAGAAAATGGTTAAGCTTGTTTTTATATAATAAGGGTTTTATAATTTTTTCTTCCGTAGTGTGCAAAAGCTGGAACAAACAAATTGCCTCATCTTCTTCCTAAAAATAATAAAGTTTGTCTACCTGGAATGGGGTGTTTACCAAGTATGTTTGATGGTGAAGATGATGCTTGGGCAAAAAAGCAAAGAGGTAGGTAACCATATGTCAGAATTGTGATTGCCACTTCTTTGGTGATGAACTCTTTAATGCTAAAAACCTTACCTAATAGGACCATAAATAGGACATTTGTAAGATGGTATGATTTTACTGCAGCTACCAGGATGCTGCAAGATTTTTTTTCTTATTCAAATATTTATTCCTTCATGAGAATAGTAAGTGAATATGTGCTAGTTAAAGGAACAAAAGGTACAAAAGAAAGAGTGTAAGGAAATTCTGGGTGTGGTAGTGACAATGACACCATTAATACAAAAGGCCTGTTGAAATGTCCTTTTCCTGGCACAAAGGTTAAAACAAATGAACTTTAATACTTAAATGCATTTGTGTGATTAATTATTGTAGAAGCAGATTATTGCAGAAAGGACAAGTCACTTGGTGTATTGAGCCAAAAATTTTTAATGATGTTCTTACTTTCGGAGGTAAATAACAATTCTACTTTTCTGTTATTTAAAAACATGTTTATTATTTTCCTAGTGGGGTATCGGCCACTATCCTTAAAATCATGTATTCTGATTGGCTGTTGGAGCGGGCAGTATTTTCTCAGTATTTGATGATCAAATTCATAATCTTGCTCTCCAGAATCGGCAAGTTACCTTAGATGATGCAGCTAATTTATTGATAGATGAAGAGGAAGAAGGAAAGGCTAAGTACAAAAGTAAGTTTCAAAGTAAGGTGCAAATATTTAAAACAAGATCATAGATTTCCTCATTACATCTAATTCATAAAAATACATGATAAAGATAACTCCTAATGTCCAAGCATTCTTGAAATCTAATGATTGAAAAAATTTACTAACAACAGACCTAATTCATCTTGGTGCGATGTTTTCCCATTACTGATCATGTGTCATTCCCAAGAGTATCATCTCTTTGTTCAATGGTTGTGCTTGATAAGACAAATGAATAGGGATACAACTCAAACGAAAACTCTTATTTTCAAGGGAATGACAATGTGGTTTTAAATAGGAAAACATAACACCTAGACGAATTAGGCCTATTGAGTAAATAACTATAGAAAAGTTTATCAGCAGTACCAAAAGCTCAAACATCTAGAATATTTGGTTTGAGTGAGTGCGAAGAGTCATAATTTAATGTTGCAGTGTGCTAATGACTTTTTTATTTTTTGCAGCTAAAGTGCGCCGTCTTTACGATATCGCCAACATCTTGTCAAGCTTACAGCTTATCCAGAAAGTCCATATTCATAACATCCAAAGTGGCAGAAAGCCTGGCTTCAGATGGATTGGTATTGATTTGGACAGTCTAGACGATCTTAACAAACCTACAAGTAAGTAAATTAATATGTAGAAAATTATTCTCCATGAGAGAAAAAGATTCATTCAGTTCCTTCCAGTTTTATTAGTTGTTTTCCAAGTGAATTTTTTGGTTCAAGGCCCTCTTTGTTTTCTGATGTGCCTTGATTCATAACATCAGACATTAAGTTTGATTAAACATTTCCTTTTAAATAAAGAAGACAAGGAAAACCTCTCGTTTAAAGGAGTTATTGAAGAATTACATTTAAGATGAAAACTCAACATGAATCACAGTTTGAAATTGAACTGATGGATTGAAGGAAATCTATAGTACCATGAACCATAAATTTTATTGAAGAATCAGGGCACAAAATTAATGCTCACAAACTCAAAAGTTGCGTGTGAAATGTTGTATTTAGTGAGGAATAAATAACTTAACTAGCTAGTTTTGTGAATTTGACCACAGTCCAGAAATTGAAGGACTGGAAAGTTTAGAACCCCCATCAAGTAATTGTTATTAGCAACGATCAATCACTAGTGATTTTTTTCTGTGAGAACAAAACTTGCTGGTAAGGTTTTGCTAGTGAGTTTAAAAGTTTAAATTTAGTGCCCTGATAATGTAAACTTAATCTTTTGTTAGGTGATTTGAACAACCATCCCAAGAAAAGAGGTGGAAGTAGTAAGAATTCCTTGGTGGAGAAGGAACCAGTAGACACAGAAGAGAGTAAGTCTTATAAGAACTTATAAAAAAATGGCTTACAATAAAGGCCAATCAGTCGCTTGGCCAATCATCATAACTGGCTATGTGGACCCCTTGCCACATGTCGGAATGCAGCTCAATTTGAAGGACATTACAATAGGTTTCCAATTCTCATGAGATAATGCTTGAAATTCTTTTGTTTTGACCTCCAAATTGAGCTCCTTTGATATGCAAGGGGTCTATTAGTTCTAGCTTCCTCATACTTCATTTCTGGCTCAAAGTTACAGGTCAAAATAATTGGCAAGGTAAAGTTTCAATTCTGGCTGGATATTGTTAGATGATTGGCTATTATTTTAAGCCCTGTTTTATATGACTGTCAATAATCAGTAATAAGCTACTTATAATTGAAACAAGTTCAGCTTACTAAAGTGTTTCATGTATTACCATAGGTGCATTTGGGAGACTAATCAGCCGCCGGCCAAGCCAGCAACAGTTACGTCGCACAAAATCTGATGGAAACGGCAAAAGCAAGCTACCACGCTCCAGATCAGATAGAGGGTTTGCAAGCAAGAAAAGGGTGTTGTCTAGTGATAGTGATAATGGAGCTAGTGACAAAGGAGATGGATATTCAATACAGGAAATTACTGGTTTTAGAGGTATGTGTGGGAAATTTTGTTAGAACTATATCTCAGCATTTTTGGGGGAATTTGGTCAATGCTTTTCTATTACAATGTAAATACTGAATATCATTTAGATTCAGGGTGAAATATTAGGAAGGGATGACCAAAGCAGAGCATTTTCTTGTATTTTTGGTAATTGCCTTGAGATGTACCTTTATCTTCAATGCTTACCTTTCACCAATGCAAACCAGGTTCAAGTCCTGCTAGGCTCTGCGCCGTATGTGGGTAGAGCTCGTTACTTCTCTACTGTGCTTCAAGGGTTTTTTGGTTTTCGTCCCTCCATAAAAAATCAACGTCTAAATTCTAATTGTAATCCAGTGCAAGAAGAGCCATTATCATTAGGCCAAACAAAAAAATAAGTGTGTTTCCTGTTGCATGAGAAAAATAATTGGGGTTGGTAGGTCGGATTTTTTTTCTGACACAACAAGGTATTTTTCGTTTTCAGTGGAAATGAGCTTACTGGAACTGTGTGGTACATTTGGGAATGAAAAAATATTAGGGTCGGCAAAAATAAGCAAGAAAATAAGGTTTTATCGCGCAACAGGAAACACACTTTTTTGTTTGGCCTTATCATAATTATCACTAATCATATAGCAAATTTTCTTTTCTCATTCTTTTTTTCTTTTCCCCCTTTAGATGACAATTCCATAAGAAGTCCAGGCTCAATCAAATTTCATTCTGAATTAATGAAACTGAAAGAGCAGTATCCTGACCACATGTCTGAGCTTCTTTCTGCCTGTCAAGCATATCTCATACCTGATGAGAACAAAAAAAGTAGAAGAACACTGTTCAATGGGGAAAATTCATCACAAGATGATGGCCCAAGCTCTAAGCGCCGCAAAAGTTCTGATGATGTCATGGTCAAAGAAAATGAGTCTGAGAATGCTACAAAGTTTGTACATTCAGCAACATCTCCATTCAAGCCCTTTGAGACAGAGCAGAATGATATCAATTCCACCACAAAGAGCCCACCGGCTAAGCATATCATCCCTAGTGTAGTTGAAGGATCTCCTGAACAAAAGATACTGTTGGAGCGAGAGAAGCAGAAAAAGCTATTAGAGGAACAGAAGGATTTTGACGTCAAGGATGAGAGATGGAAACGAATGGAAGATGAACTGGAAAAAGCACTTTCCAAGACCCGTTCTGAAGTGTCCAAGAATAATGACAGCATCCACTCATCAGTTGAAATTCAGGCTAATTCAATAGATGATGTGAGCCCCTTGAAGCCTCTGAGTAATTATGTTAAGAATATGAAGCCCTGGTATCCTCTAGGTAAAGACAAGACAGTCACTCAATCTACAGCATCCAAATCAGGAAGTCTATCTCCATTGTCTTTACAAGCTATGGGTGTCACTCCAATAGCACCTTCTCCAGTGAGCAATACTACAAGTCCCACAAATGCATCAGTCGCGTCATCCAATAATGCTCAAAGCGTAAATCTAGTATCATTAACATCTTCAAATTTACAGTCTTTGTGGACAATGGCAACCTGTAGTGCCCCATCGCTCCATACCAGCCAGGCTCCTCTCTTCCTAGCAATGCCACAGCAACACACCTTCTCATCTTCTGCATCTAATCCAGCTTTGCTGTCAGTAACACCAAGTACTTCAGAGACAAGAAAACTATTACCACTATCTCATCCACCCAGTGAAGAGAATTGCCTGGGCAATATAATGCAAGCTACTACCAATATAATGCCGCCATCTTCAACTTTACCAATGAACATTGTTGGCACTCTAAACAATGCCAACTTTATTCAAGAAAGCATGACATGTTTGAAAGATAACCAGATAATTAGACCTCTGGTGAATGTCCAGCCCTCAGTCACCCAAGGATTCAGTCCTAGAATGGTCATGACTGCAATTCCAGGTATCAGAGGTCCTGCTCGTGCCACTGTAGCCACACCCAACCAGATGACCCCCATTCTACCTAAGGTTATCACACCTCAGCATCCATTTTCATCAGTGACTGGGGGAACTCCCTGTAGCAATACAGTTTTTGTAAATTCAGATATTGCTAAAAAATTAGTAATGCCTGATACTAAATTAAACTGAAACAAAAAAAAGAAAATAGGAATATTTGAATTTAGTTAAAATGTAATTAATTTGGTTTCTCTAGTCCCCTTGCACTGACTCCTTAGAGGAATAATTATTCTGGGGGACAAAACAATAGGCCGTCTTTTCTTACTCAAAAACATTCCTTCTTTTGGTTCCCAAGAACGATTCCTCTCAGGACTCAGTGCAAGGGGTCTATTATCATGTGGTTAATTAGTAAATGGTAAACTTATTGAGTTTTGCATGAATATGAAGAAGATTGGTCTTTCAAGAGGTCTTTGTCTTCAAATTTATTTTTTTATTTAGATTTGCACGTTACTTTTCATCCTGTGAAATAATAAGTGAATAATTCTTTTTTACTTTCACTATCAAGACTTTTCGATGCCTTCCTGTTATAATTTACCAAAGCCTAATTTAAGGCTATATTACTCAGCAAAGCCTTTTTCAAAATTCATGCAGAATTCACTGATGTTTTTTGTTTGGTTATTTGGTAGAGTTATATCTACTCTTTATGGTATAAGGTTTTGAAAAACAATATTTTTTTCTTTCTGTGAAAGTTTTACTTTTCTCTATTAGTGATAGTGATTAACAATTTATTTTTTTCAAGTAAGGTTCATTAGAGTGCACGCACTAAAACCGTGAGCATTAAATAGTACTATTTCATACGGAATCCTTTGTTTTCTATTGTTTAATTATCACTATTTAGTGCTTGAAAATTAGTATTTGTTTCACGGATTTAGTGTAAGCACTCTAATACAATAATTAGGGTAATGTAAGGAAATTGTTAAAGGAATATAATTGTTGACAAAATCTAGGGGTTTTAATGTACAGTATTGATAGCCAAAATGAGTTAATCCTGGTATGTTATCCTAGGGTTTGGAAAAGTTTTTTTTATTAACCTTAAAAAAACTACAGATGCTATTTAATTGCGTACAGATTATGAATATTACCGCAAATGATAGTTGAACTTTAAAGTCTTACTTTTTACTCAAGTTCATTTATAGGGTATTTTGAAAGTTGGGTATTTGGTAGAACAAAAAAAAACACTCCTTTTTCAAAGGCTATCTTATGAAATACCATGAATTTAGGGATTACTCTGCATTTAGGAGATGGGTTACCAACACTACTTAAAATATTTTCATGAACTTTAATAAAGTTAATTCTTATAGTTCGTGGCAAATGTAAGATAATTTTTCCAAAGTCAAATCTACCAATGGCTGCTAAATTTGTATGTCTTTTCCCTGAAATTGTAGTGCAAATAAAATAAAGTATATTTTTCTTTATTAATTTCTCAGTGTTTGGGGGGTACACAAGGGTGGGATGTGTTGAAACGTAAACTAGCTTATAGACCTATTGGCCTTTTAAGAAATCATTGAGAGTCACAGTATCGGCTGTGTTGTTTCAGACGACACTCAATAAGCCTTTTCATAGTTTAAGAATCGATGCCACTGCGCATGCGATTTTATCCCGAATTTCTCACCTTTTGTTTAATTAAGAACAAAAGAAGGTTTAGACAAAAGAAGGTAGAAATTCGGGATAAAATCGCATGCGCAGTGGAATCGATTCTTAAACTGTGAAAAGGCTTATAGACCTCGGCTCTGACGTAATGTCCCATTTCAGACCACGTGGCATTCCCTAGATTATTATTTCTTTGTTTAAGGTTTGCGCTCGGTTGCACATGAGAAGACACATGAATATGGATACAACTCAAAGAATATTCTCAAGGGAATTACACGTGTTCTGAAATGGGACAACATTACGCTCGAGCGCTCCAGAGCCGAGGAGGTCTATTGTATTTGACGGTGGAGAAGTTTCTCAATTGCATAGAAAGGGAACCCATCAGTCTTCAACGCTGTGTCAATTCTATTCTTCACTGGGGTGATGACAGCAAATGGGCTTGTATGCAACACATCCAAGACTGAAATAACACACTTATCTTCAATACCCTTTGGTAAATATCAGCATTGGTGATCTAATAACTCTTGTGATCTTGAAATAATCCCGGGGGGGGGGGGGTACTACCACCCCAACTTGGGTACTTGGGTAGGGGTCTGCCGCCAGGACCTCAAAACCCTGACCCTATGCAAACTCAATTTGCATTGCTAATTTGAGTCCCCGGGGATTATGCAAATGAGATAATAAAAGCCCTTCACGTGGTCCTATAGTGTCACTCTACTCGAGGCAGCCGGTCAAACATCGTCTTTGTTATAGTATTTGGTATTTCAAACCCGTCTTCCTGTGATAT